ATGTAACGATCCAGACGTTCTCGTACTCGATTTTGAACCGAAATGCCCTTCTCCCAGTATACCAAGAGCCTTCAAGCCCCAAATCACACAACTCACAGTCCCCCATAGCTTCTCGAAATTCACAATTTCCCTTCTCACCTTATCCGCCCCTCCTTCGATTTCCTCATAGGTAAGGATCTCGTTAAAATCACCTCCAAATAAAATTGGGAGATTAGTCTCAGTACATAAGTGACGAATTAGTGACCATGTCTTATGCTTTTCTTCTTCTTTAGGCCACTCGTACACCCCGACAAACCTCCAAGTACCCTCCTTACCCTTCACTTCTCCACTGATGTGGTTTTGGGAGAAAGAAGTGAGTTGAAAGTCAACACTCTCCTTCCAGAAAAATCCCAAACCACCAGCCTTACCCCTACTCGACACTCCAAACACATTTGTGAAGCCTAGGAGCTCTTCAAGACCCTCCACTTCCTTCTTATTAATCATCGTCTCCGATACAAAAATCATATCGGGGGCAAAACTATTGCTCCATTTTCGAAGCTGTCGAACTGACCAGGAGTTGCCCAATCCCCGACTCTTAATTTTGATTACCCTAAAATAAAATACAGGCTCTTAATAAAAAGACGAAGGGAGGAAAAGACGGAGGGAATATATATATATATATATATATATATGTATATATATATATATATGTATATATATATATATATATGTATATATATATATATATATGTATATATATATATGTATATATATATATGTATATATATATACATATGTATATATATATACATATACATATACATATATATAACGATTAAAACAAATTACAAACCCTCAAACTCAAACAGCTTTCACTCTCTCTCTCCTCAATCTAAAAGTTAGTAAGTTTCTTTCTCCTCAAAAGCGCCAGAAGCAGCTCTGAACTTTCTCCTCCATTGAAACAACTTCTTTCGCTAATTATTTGTAGTATAGTTAATCTAGGGTTTTACCATTGCTAAAATTGTGCTATTGGCTTGTTTATTTAGGGTTTTCAGATGTAATCGCCTTCAATTGATTGTTCGAATGTTATTATTCGATTACTCATTACTGCTCGATTTTCTTCTGCTCGAATTGCTTACAATTGGTTTCTGACCTTTTGGTTGAAGACAAACCCTTGGTTGTCTGAGTACTCATTGTTTTAGTTCATTGCTTTCTCGTATGAAGTACTCGCTATAGTTTAGTGTTTGTTATTAGTTTTTTTGTACGGGTTTACAGTGATGAAGCTTAGTGTGGACTAGAGTTTATGACCTTCGGTTTGAAGACAAACCCCTTTGTATTATCTTAGCGGATATATATTAGATTAGATATATATCAGCTTTCCTAACCTTTTAGATATTAGATTAGATATATATCAGCTTTTGTATAGTTATTGTTTGTTTTTGTATTGATTGCCTGTATGTGTATGAATGCTTGTGGGTTGATTAGAGTTGATGATGATACTTTATATTATCTTAGTGGATTTCAGTGAGATCATTGATTTATGATCTGATTGTTACACACACTGAAGCTCTTATCACTACAGTAGTTGTGTTTGCTTTGTGTATTTCATTATTGTGTATGTATGTATGTTGCTATGACGATATTGGAACACGAGAGTGTTCTTTGGGCAGTGGACAGGATCTATTGGTCTTGTTGTGAGCCTTTTTTTTTATTAACGACTTCTCCTTCCACCGAGCATTAGACACGAATCTTTCATTTGGTTTTAGATACTCCCTCGTTGCTCCACTTTTCATTTTCGGCCGTATTAGAGTATTGAAATAGATTAAGTAATTAAAATCGGATGGAATATTTAAATTTTATGTTTTGAATTCTTATTTTGATAGCTTAGATTGGTCTTTTGTGAAAAAACGTGGAAATAATGTAACACATGATTTGTATAAGTGTTTGTGAGTAGTTGGTGTGGCTAAATTTAGAACATAGGAAAAAAAAAACTTTAGAACATAAGTAGATTAAATTTAGAACATAGGAAAAAAGAAATTAGAACATAGGTAAAAGAATATTTAGAACTTAGGAAAAAAAAACTTTAGAACATAGGTAGTAAAAATTTAGAACATAGGAAAAAAAAAACTTTAGAACATAAGTAGACTAGATTAAGAACATAGGCAAAAAAATTTAGAACATAGGTAAAAGAATATTTAGAACTTAGGAAAAAAAAACTTTAGAACATAGGTAGAAAAATATTAGAACATAGGTAAAAAAAAATTTAGAACATAGGTGTAGAATATACGAACAACTTTAGAACATAGGAAAAATTTCGAACATAAGAAAATGATTTGCAACATAGTAAAAATTTAGAACATAGAAAATTAGAACATTGGGAAAAAAAATTAGATCATAGGAAAAATAATTGGAAATTTAGAATATTGGGGAAAAAAATAAGAGCATATAAAATAAGTTTATAACATAGGGTGAAAAAATTTAGAACATAAGATAAAGTTTAGAACATAGATAGAAAAAATTTAGAACGTACAAAAAAAAAATTAGAAAATAGGTAGAAAAAATTTAGAGCGTAGGATAAAATTTAGAGCATACAGAAAAAATTTAGAACATAGGAAATAAATTTAGAACATAGACAAAAAAATTTGAATGTAGGATATATATTTAGAACATGGACAAAAAAATTTAGAACATAAACAATAAAATGTAGAACATAGGAAAATAGTTTAGAACATACATATATTTAGAGCTTAGATTGAAAATTTTAGAGCTTAAGCAATAAATTCTAGAACATATGCAAATAATATTTAGAACATATGATAAAACCTATTAGCTCAATTGGAAGAGCACTATGCAAATGCATAGAGGATGTAGGTTCAATTCCAACATTGGTTATCTTTATAAATAACTTTAAAAACTTCAAATGTTTTTTTTTTAAAAAAAAAATCCAATAAAACAAATTAAATTAGCACTAAGTTATATGAGCAGAAAATAAGTAGACTAAATTTAGAACGTAGGAAAAAAAAAACTTTAGAACATAAGTAGACTAAATTTAGAACTTAGGAAAAAAAATTTAGAACATATGTAAAAGAATATTTAGAACGTAGGGAAGAAAAAGAAAAAAACTTTAGAACATAGGTAGTAAAAATTTAGAACATAGGAAAAAAAAAACTTTAGAACATAAATAGACTGAATTTAGAACATAGGCAAAAGAATTTAGAACATAGGTAAAAGAATATTAAGAACATAGGAAAAAGAATATTTAGAACATAGGAAAAAAAAACTTTAGAACATAGGTTGAAAAAATTTAGAACATAGGAAAAAAACTTTAGAACATAAGTAGACTAAATTTAGAACATTGGGAAAAAAAAATTAGAACATAAATAGACCAAATTTAGAACATAGGAGTGGGCAAAAAAAAATTAGAACATAAAAGAAGAATTACATAAATGCCATTACTAAATTATCATTTTAGATTGTTGGATCAAAACTAATAAACGGCTGAGATTAGTTCTTATCTAAGATTGAGTTTTTATATAGAGGAGGGTTCTTATATATATATATATATATATATATATATATATATATATATATATATATATATATATATATATATATACCTTTACTTATTTGGGCTAATAAACCAATTTGAAAATTGATTTTTAGACTCACTTATGTACTCCCTATGTCTTTATTATTTCTTCCTACTTGAATTTTTGTCTTTTAAATAACGGAAATTTCACCATATACCACTGAGTTTAAGCATAATTCACCGTATACCACCAAAAACTTTCTAATACACCATATACCACTCAGTTATTGTATATTAACACAAAATGCCCTTTTTGCTAACTGTCGTTAGTCTGCTGTTTGGGGGACTTTACTAATTCACCATATACCATTAATTTATAAGTAATTTCACCATATACCATGTAGTTTAAGGTTAATTCACAGTATACCACTTTTTTAAAACGGTAACATTTTTTGAAAAAAAATAGCCGTTGCACATTGATAACGGCTATTTTGTCTATATAAAAGCTGGGCGTGAGGGATTCATGTTTCAGGTCACTCTTCTAAACACATTTGCAAAGATGTCCACACACTCGAAATCATCGTCGTCCGGTTTTGTAAGAGTGCCTAACAAAGCGTGTTCTTGTGGTAGGAAGTTTGCAATACGAAGTTCTGAATCGGCAAAAAATCCGCAACGGTTGTACTATAAGTGTGATGAGTGTGACACATTTAGATGGTGCAAGGGCAATGTCGAGCAAAATGTCCAATCGGGTTATGAAAATAAAAGTAGGGGAGGGATAGACACCCAATACTATGGAGATGAGAGGTTGTTGAAGCAAGAGTTGAAGGACCTCAAGCGAAGAGTAGTAAGGCAGCAAAATATAGTTGATGTAGCAATAAAAATAGGAGTACTTATGTTTTTGTTAATTGTATTTTTAGCCTTGAAATGATTAATGTAAACAAAGTGCATTAGTTATATGTAGCCTTGAAATGATTATTGTAATCAAAGTGCATTATCATTCCAAAAATTATGGCCACATAATTGTGCATTAACACTTAAGGTCAAATAGTAATCCCTAAAAAACAACCAAGTACTTAACAGTTTGTTGAGCAAAAAACCAGAAACTTAATAAATTTTTTTAAAAATTATCCTCAAACAAAGTTGACACATCATGCATGGCAGCTTCAAGGTTGCTGACTGTCAGCCTTTCTCTTCCTCCCCTTCCTTTGGCTTGCTGTGAAGAGGTTGCTGCATCTTGTGCCTTTTTTGCTGCTTCCTTCCTTGCCTTACAGGTTAAGGCATTGTGTCCCGATACGGAGTTCTGTCAGCTCATTAGGGTCCATGTCAATTGCTTTGTCAAACCTGGAACCCATTCTTTTCATGCACCAATTCCTGACAGCTGGTTTAGTTTTTGAAAAAAAAAACAAAAAAAAAAAAAACAAATACAGCACAAACAAATTCACAGATATCAGAACAAGAAATAAAGTACCAACTGAACTCATGAAATAAAGTGTCAGTTAATACCTTCCAGTAAAGTGAACACAGGCATGTCTCTGTTGTCCTTTGTAAATGAGTTGAATGACTCAACAAAGTTTGTTGTGTTATGATCACAACAAACAACTCTGTCAAACTTGTGCCTAGTCCACTGCTCTTCAATATTTGTCATGTACTCAAATGCTGCTGCATCATACTTCTTTATCTTTGACATTGCTTTGTCATACACATACTCATTATAGGCATTGGCTGCAATCCAAAATAGCTTATGGAACTCTGTCCCACTCCATCCAGCAGTCTTGCAATTTGAGTACAGATGCTGACAACAGACTCTCCTTGTTGCCCTTGGGAACACTTCAAAAAGGGCTGGTTCAACACCCTTCAGGGAAGATTAAACACTTGGTTAGTGGTCATTCACATAAGAGAAGCAAAGTTGAATTACAAAAAAAAGCAAGACACTAACCCTCATCCTGTCACTTATAAAAGTCCAATATTCCTTCTGGCAACCATTCTGGGCAAATAAGTGTCTTAGGTTTCTGAAGAAATAAGACCAGCTTTTTATGCTCTCTGTATCCACCAATCCATAAGCTATTACAAAAATTTCATTGTTACCATCAATGCCTACTGCAGTGAGCATAATTCCTTTATAATACCCACTTAGATGTGCACCATCATCCCTATAATGGGTTTGCAACCACTCAAGAACCCTTTCACCTGAGCTGCAAAAGAGAAGAAACATGCCTTGAATTTGGTACCATTAACCCCATTGTCAGTCCATGTGATCAGAGCATATGAGCCAGGATTTGTGGCTTTAATCATCTCTGCATATTTTGGTAAAATTGCATAAGACTCTACAAAACCACCATGAATTTGCTCCCTGGCTAAACACTTCACTTTATAAAACAATCTGAGCTTCACTTGGATCTTAAACCTTTCCAGGCACATTCTTTGTAATGATTCAACTGGAGTCTCTGGGTTTGCCTCTAAGTCTTGCCTCAACTGTCTACAGAGCCATGCTGAATAGACCATGGGGTTCTCTTCCAGCCTCCCACAAGTTCTATGTTCACCTTCTAGCTTCTTAATAGCCCAGCTCACCTTATCAACAAGAACTGCTGCATGAATCCTCCAATTGCAATCACTGATCAGACACCTAGCTGTATATCTGTAATTATCAGCATAGTCAACTGACACTGCAAAGCCTTCTTGTACGCAAAAATCTCTGAATACCTCATGAAATTGTGTTTTGTTTTCAAAGATTAACCAAGGTTCTAGCTGAATTGACCCAAATGGTAAGTTAGCCCAAACCTTGCCATTTCTGTACATCTTGTCCAGAGCATAAGATCCATCTAGGTAATCTTAAAATATCTTCTCTGGTATGTTATCAGCTAGGTCATCCTCTTCCACAATGTAGTCATCATCAAGGTTCAAGTCCATCTCCACATCACCCTCATCTTCAGAAAATTCATAGTCATCATCATCACTATCATCAAATGGCCATGGATCAGACTCACTGTCAGTTTCTTTAACAGGCATAGGTTTTTTGCTCCTAGTATTGATTTCCCTCCCTCCTCTTTTGTTTTTCCCAACCTCAACACCATACTTCTTTGCTGTGCTTCTAGGCACCCTCCATTCAGCTGGTTTAACCCTTGTTTGTTCTTTAGGCTTTGCTGCAGAACTAGAAGCACCTCTAGTTTGGGTTGGTTGCCTTGATGCAGCTGTATTTGGTTGAGGTGGTGGTGGTGGGGGTGGGGGTGGTGTAGGTTGCCTGGGTGGGGGTGGTGGTGTAGGTTTCCTGGGTGGGGGTGGTGGTGTAGGTTGCCTGGGTGGGGGGGGGGGGAAGCATGGTGTGTTGGTGTTGTTGGTGGAGAAGGGTGCTCTTGAGAAACATTTGGTGGAGATGGAGGCTGAGTTGGTTGAGTAGATTGTGAAGGTTGGGTTTTTTTCTTCCTTGGAGTTACTTTTTTCCTTCTAGGATTTTTTTTGGGTGGTGATGGTGTCTTACTTTTTTCATTTGAGGGTTGACATGGTTCATTTTGTGAAGGTTGAGGCTGAGAATCTCCTGGAAATGACTCATCAGCTGCTGTAGTGTGGAATACCCTCACATATTCAAGCACATCATCTTCTGCATTCACAACAGGGACCTCTACAACAACAGTATATGGTACTTGAGCATTAAGCTCCTCCTCAACTTCTTCAGCCTCTGCATTTTTCCTTCTCTCTTCCTCCTTCTGCCTAATTTGGTCAACCCTATTCTTCACAATTCTAGCCCAACTAGCTTCTGCAGACTGAAAGACAACAGATGGATTTTGTGTCTCTTCTATGAACACTTCAATTTCATCCTTCCCTTCATTCCACTCCCACATTTTCAACATTGCCCCACCATCCACTAACTCCAACTTACGATTAGTTCTAGGTTTACTCACAAACAAAGTGAAGTACTTAGGGAGGAAAACATTCTGCTTCACTAAATCCTCAAACATATACTCAAATAACTCCATCAAATTTGTCTTATCAGTATCATCTACCCTAACATCAAAAGTACCACTTGGCGAACGAACTAACAGCCAAAGTGCACTCATCCTATTCATGAATAATACACAACAAAAATTAACAACACACACCAACACATCATACAAAACACATCATACTTAACAACAAACTTACTTATAAATCGCATGCAACACATCATTCACACATAATAACATAACAACCACACTCACATAATCAATGTCGAACAAACCCTAACCCTAACTCAATTTCACAATAAACAGAAAAATCAGGCCTCGAAAAACAAATTGAAAAGGATAATTTTACCTTTAGAAAGCTTGATCGAGCCCAGGTGCGAATTACGACCGAAATTCAGTCAAGAACAACTTCCTCTCTCTCAAACTTCACCAAGTTCGTTCTTTTTCCAATCACAAGCCCCAAATTGAAAACATACTGGCAATGTCGACCTTGGATCGATGAAAGTTTGAAGCTTTTTGATTGATTTTGGGGTTCGATTTTAATGGAGAAGAACAGAGAGAAGCTTCAATGGAAAGGGGAAATGGGGGGTCAATTTTTTCAAACTAGAAAAATTATGTTTGGGGGAGTCAACCCTATCAATGGCGCCAGTTAGATGTATAAGGGCATAATGGTAAAGTCCCCCAAACGGCAGACTAACGGCAGTTAGCAAAAAGGGCATTTTGTGTTAATATACAGTAACTGAGTGGTATATGGTGTATTAGAAAGTTTTTGGTGGTATACGGTGAATTATGCTTAAACTCAGTGGTATATGGTGAAATTTCCATTTAAATAAATTTTAAATGCAAAAACATATAGAGATTGAGGGGTGTTATGGCATTGACTTGATTACAATCTACTGTATATTACTTCGTTTTATATTGCTCTAAAATATATTGTTAGCACAAAAATTAAAGTTAACGAGAGAAAGTGTGTAAATGAAATACTACCTCCGTTAACAGTTAGTTGCAACGATTTAACATAAAGTAGAGAGGAAAAATGTCCCATCGTTGTAACTAACTGTTAACGGAGGTAGTAGTAAGATGAAATAGATAAGAATGCAGGTGAGTTTGAGAAAAAGGTGAATTGAGTAAGAGGGTGGCGAAAAAATGTAAGTATTATGGGGTAAAATGCTAAAGAAGTTAAAAGAGTTTGCCAAAATTGAGCATATGTAAGAAAAAAATTGATAAGGTTCGATAATAAAGATTGAGTCTTACAAAAGTTGCATAAAGTAATATAGAGTAGACTTGGCAAAGCTGACCTGATCTATACCCAATCATCCGAACCGAAATAATCGACTCGAGACCCGATCTAGACCCAATACAATGACTTGAAACATACCCGAAATTTGAAATGATTCGACCCGATCCGAAGTGGAGTTAACCTGTTTTTAACCCGATACTTGAAGTGACCGAACCGGAATTTACCCAATTTGCAGTTACCCCAAACGCAAAATAATCTAACTTGATTTTAACATGAACTTGACCTGACATACTAGATTTGAAATTAACCTGAACCATACTGGCCTGAGCTTGACCTAGAATCTCAAACCAAATTGAGCTTGTCTAGAAATTCCGACCCAAAATGACCTAACTCAAACTTGACTCAAGTCTCAACCTATTACTTGACCTGATCCAATTATATATTGGCTCAAACATACCTAAAATCCGAAATGACCTGAAGTGATTGTACACCAGATACTTAATGATTTGACTCAAATGACTTGATTGTCAAGTCGAGTGTAAAATGTTTAATGTAGAGGTAAGCAGTAGGGGTGAGCAAAAAATCACGGTACCCTAAATCGGAACCGGAACCTGTTAGGAACCACAGGTTCCGGAATCGGAAACTGTAGAAGAGGTTCCGGTTCCGGGTAACAAAATGGAGAACCTGTTGCAACAGGTTTCAGGTTTTCAATTTTTTGGAACCGGAACCTATAGGGTACCCTGTAAACCTGATAAAAGTATCATTTATTTTCAAATTATACACCAATTCTAACTTTTTTTTTTAATAATAAATATTAAAATTACAATTATAAATATATGTATTAACCTAGTTCAAAACTCGTGATATGCACGACTTTATAGTACAATAGTATTTCATTGTATTCTTTTATTAAAAAAAACCTACAAAATTGAATCATTGTAAGTAAAAAAAATAACATAAATAAAATGTACAATAAACATCATGATATTTTATAGTACAAGTAATGTGAAATGGAAGGAGTAACAATATTTTAGTTTTCTTAATATAAAAGTTTACCCTTATTCTCAATTAAAAGGTACTCACTATTCATGTTATTCTTGTCAATAACAAAATAAAAGGGAAAAATTGCTAAAAATAATACAATCTTTCGTCCATTCTTTTTTTAATAATACAACCTTTTAATTATTTTTAAGTAATACAACCTTTAAGGGGTGTTAATTTTAAATAAGACAAAATTGGATTTTTAGTGGATTTTGAGGGTAGGAAAGGGGAGGGGATGAGTTTTTGGTGGTGGGGATAAGGAAGGAGGGAATATCCCCTCCCCTTCTACCACCTCAAAACTCACCGAATATCCGATTTTATCTTGTTTAAAATTAACACCCCCTAAAATTTATAATATTTATAAATAATCAAAAGGTTGTATTATTAAAAAAGAACGGGTCCAAGGTTGTATTATTTTTGACAATAATTCCAAAAAAAAAATTGATAATTTTCTAAGGAGTAGTTTATAGTGTTAAGTAACTATTTTTTTTTTATTCTTTATCGCTATATTAGTTAAATTATTATTGTTGTGCTTCATTCCCTTTCCTAAATATAAGGGCAAAACTTAACAAACTTATTTCAATAATAAAAAAAAAAGTAACAAATTTTTTGGCGTGAAATTTTTTAATGTGGTGATGACACGTGTACTTTGGGGATAATTATGGGGATTACTTTAGTATATAAGTATAGATTTGTTAGACAAATACTATTAGTTTGTTTTATTTGCGAGTTGTAAACATTATAAATTAGTGACCAACTAGTTTTTTTTATTAAAAAAATCTTCAAAAAATTAGTAAGTACGGAGTATATTACAAGACAATGTACCGTGAATCGGAAACGAAACCTACAATTTTCAGTTCCAATTTCCAATTTTCGGGAGGTTCTGGTTTCAATTCCCATCATGAGGAATCTGTTACAACAGATTTTGATTTCGATTTCAGGAATTTTAACAGGTAACTTGCAAGCAGTCGTCTGACGTATGAATGTATGAAACGTAATGTCGTGGACTAAAAATGAGCAAGGCCGTCACATAAAAGAAGCCCAATTAACATCCAAAGTTAAAAATAGTAGCACGGCAACGTTGACCAATACATTTTTTTTATATAAACGCTTTAAATGTCGGCAATAGCGGCCTCTAAGAAATCGACGCCTAAAACTACGGTGAAAATGACGACATAAGTGTCAACATCAAAGCGCCGGCTTTTAGTCTTCAATATTTGTCGGTTTATCCATTTTCTCACTCTGCAAAAGTCTCGTTACGATGATGATCAAAGCTACTACCGTAATAGATTCTCTTTCCTAGCTCCTACGTGTCATTCTAGGCATCTGACGCGTGGCCTCCACTTACACACATTCATCCACTTATACTTACACTTGACGTTTTTGGTTTTGGTTTTGGTTTTGGTTTTGGATAAGATTGACCTAGTCACTTGCTAGTGTAAGTTTGGTTTGGTCATTTGGATTATTAAAGTACTTCAAAGTTTCAAACGTGCATACCTTGAAAAGAATTAAATTATTGAAAAATGAATGAATAAAAAATACGAGTAATAATAAATAGAATTGGTGAGATCATTGTT